GCGGGGGCGCAGCGGGCGCAGCAGTGAGCGCGGCGGCGACGCCCGGAGCCGAGGCGGCCTGGCGCGCCGTCGCCCCGCAAGCTTGAATCCTTCTCCCGCCCCGGCGCCTTTGCGGCTTGATCAACCCACAGCATTAGGCTCCCTGTCCCCTTAGTCCCCGCGGCAACCCCCGTCTCCTGGCGGCGCCCGCGCAGGGCCGCGGCGAACGGGCCGCCCATCAATCATAGTCAGTATCTAGCACAACACTCTCTCCGCCCTCGGCCCGAGAACGAACCCAACCCCGCGCCGCCGCCCGAGCGGCCGCGCGCCCCCGGCCTGGCGGGCCCGCGCGGCGCGCCGCCATTGCCGCGCCCGACGCGCTGCGATTTGCCGCGCGGGCGGCCGCGCGAGGGCAGCAGTACAAGCGGCGACCGATCGCCCCCTTGCTGCCGCCCAGCGCCCGCGGCCGTCGCGCCATTTCTATTTGTATGAGACAGGCGGCCCCTAGCAGCTGGCGCAACCCCCTCCATCTCATCCGTTGTCAGCTGTGTCGAGCCGGGTTGTTCAACGCGATGCATTTGCAGCGTGACCGGACCCGCAGGAGCAACCGCCGCTGCTGCTGCTGCCGCCGCTGCTGCTGCTGCTGCTGCTGCTGCTGCTGCTGCTGCTAGCGCCCTGCCCAGCAGGCATGTCCAGTCGGCGCGGCTTTCTTTGGCCGCGCTGGCGCCAAAGGCCGGGGCGCGTGCCCCGACCGGCTGTGCAGCCAGGCGCCCCCGGCTCGTGGTGTTGCCGCCGTGTACTATCGCGTCCGCCCCTGGACTTGACGGCGCCCTGCCAAGGGCGCCCCTTTGCGGCCCTTTCAAGGGCCAGGCCCTGTCGCTGCTAGCCGCCCCGCCCCCGCCCAGCCTCTAGGTGCGCGTGCGCCACGGCAGGGGGGCTGTGGGGGCAGCGCGCGGCCCCGAGGGCTGCGCGGTGCATACGCGTTTTTTTAGTGGAGGCGGCAGCGATGTGCGCGTGCGCTCGCAGCACTCCATCCAAGTTGTGAGTGAGCGGCGGTCGCGAGCCCAGCCCGCAGGGCCCGCCCATGGTCAAAGCCGATCGTGTTTGTTCCGGCGTGTCGCTGGGGTATGATAGCCAGGGTGAAGGGGGCATGCACGGGCGCCCCCGCGGGCGCCTGCTGCTCGGCCCCCCGCTGTCATCACGCGCGGCCGTGCGGGCCGCCGTCACGCGCGAGCAAGCCAAGTAGCGGATGGGCCTCGCTCTTTCTATCTTATCAAAGCTCTCAGCTAGTCGAGCTAGGCTCGTTGCTCGGTCGATACGCGTTCGGCGGTCTGATAGTTGAGCCGGCTGGATACCACTTGCCGTGGCATTGCTGCTTTTTGTGGATGATCTCAGCGCCTGCGGTGCACGCCCCTGCCGCAGTGCCTCAATGGCAGGCTTCCGCTCACTGTGTTGAGCACAATCAGCGCGTGATACAACGTGTTACACCTCACATCTGCCCGGCCCTGGAACGAATGCATGCAACAGGGCTTTTGTGGGATTGGTTTGGGTTGGCTGGGAACAGACGCGTGCTGGCTCAGAAGTCCCAGATATCAAGAGAGCAGTCAATGCCTAGCAGCTGACAGGCGCCGTGCGTGCACGCGGAACCAGATCGCCCAGCATCCAGTCTAATTGTGTGCCAATAGAAATGCAACTTTGCTCAATGTTGTCGGCACTCAGGCTGCCCAATTTCCAATGCTTCAAGGTTGCGCAAACTAGAAATCGCAGGTGTGATGAAGCCGCTGTGAAATGTTGCTTTGCACATTAAAACCATTTAATCCTTCTTGTTCTATACAATCTGCGGCCGCGGGTGACCAAGACGGCTCCCGGTACGGACCTCGTTCAGCGGGTGATTCGAGGGTCAACTGCAATTTCCCTGAGCATCTTGGAGGCATGGCGGTTTGATCTCTTCACTTTTATATGACGCGAGCCAGCATCTCAATCAAGCCGAGAGTGCAGCCCTGCAACGCCAACCACGCACAGCATGGCGCTGCACGTGCAGATGCTCCTGGCACTCGCCTTGACCCTGGCCGTGCTCGCCCCTGTGCAGGCCACAGACCCTGGTGCGCCCTACACATGCTAAATCCCATTCACGCTTGCAACCTGCGTGCTCATGCATCAACGCAGTTTGGTGGACCCAAACGCCAGCGCCCACGCACGGCCGCACCTCCGCCAGCGTTCTGCAGCTCGCCCCGCGGCCAGCCTGCCTCCTCTAGCCACTCTCCCTGACCCATCCCCCCCTGGATGGCACCCGACGCCACCCGCCCGTCTTTTCAACTCATCAAGCACCAGCGGGTGGCGGTGTCGTCATTTCAGAGTTCATGGCGTCGCCAGCCAATGGCTCCCTGGCAGCCCCAGGCACCACCAAGCCCACAGACTGGGTCGAGCTCCTCAACACGGGCGCCGCGCCCACCAGCCTCGGCGGCTGGGTGCTCTCAGAGGGCGGGCAGGAGGGCGGCAAGGGCGGCGGAAGGTGGCAGCTACCGCCTGTGGACCTGCCGCCTGGCGGCTACCTCGTGCTGATAGGTGTAGGTGAGCGTGTCTGGGGGTTGGGGGGCCGGGGCAGGGGAGGAGCCGCGGGACCAAACGTCTTTGGGCCGTGTCAGAATTGTGCAGTGCCTCACAGTGGGTGTATGTAGCGCGCCTCTGCACGCGCCGCCAGGGCTCCAGGACCTTTTGTGCCTGAGACAGGCAAATGCATTTTGACTGCATCACGGCCGATCGGCCAGCCCCGTCTGCCTCACCACCGACGGCGCCTGATGGTTCTTGTTGGCTGGCACTTGCCAGCGACCACACATCAACCTTGGACACGGCCACCTTGCCGCACGCACACGCGCTGACGCCCCACCTGGGACCTCTTCACCCCCCGCACAACCCGGCGCGCATTGCCGCCACTGCAAGGCGGCGCGGGCGCAGACAACGCGTCGCAGGTGGAGGAGGGGCCTGGCGGTATCCGGCTGCTGCCGGTCCCGGGCCTCAAGCTGGGGGCCGGAGGCAAGGCTTTGACGCTCAGCCAGCCGGACGGGCGCGTGGCAAGCTCCACTGGGGAGGTCATAAGGTAGGCGGGGGCGTCCGATCCGACCCTCACCTGTCCCTGACAGTTTGAATTTGAACATGGAGGATGCCGTTTTTGCAGCTGCGGAGGGACGGCGCCTGCTGGCAGTACTGCTTGCTGCTTTGCCGCGTGCGTCCACTGGTTGACTGCAAATGCTGCTCGTCCTCACTCTGCCCAAACCGCCCAAACCGCTCGCCGGTCGCAGGCAGCGTCCGGGTGTGTCCTTTGGCCTTCCAGCTGGCGCGGCTCCTGGCAGCCCGCCCACCTTCCTGCAGCTTCCCACCCCCGGCGCCGCCAACAGCCCCGCCAAGCCTGCGGGTCCCTTCATCTTTGAGTGAGTCCAGTCAGGTGCCGGGGGATGCTCGTCCCCCCTCACACTAGCACACAGCCACAGAGAAGTCATGTCAGCGCGCAGTAAAGGCTGGCCGACGCACACCAGGCTCGGCAACCCCTGCAGCTTCCGGGTGTTTGCACCGCCGATGGGGTTGTGCGGAAAGGACTTGCCCGCCGCCAGAGCAGCCTTGTTTGCCGGCCCAAAGCGGTATTGCAAAGCATCCCCTGCCCGCAACTGCAAAGTTTCCCAATCCACGTGTGGATGCGTGGGCGTCAACCCTCGTCACCCCTCCCCATGCTGTCGCCCCGCTGCCACCTTATGTGACCCCTCGCCCCCCCCAAAAGGGTCACTCGCACCCCAGACGGCACGACGCCCCCAGGGCAGCCGCTCGTCGTGTCGGCGCGCGTCGCGCCCAACGGCGCGCCGCCGCAGTCCGTGGAGCTGGTGTGGCGCGTGAACTACGCCCCAGAGCAGAGGGCGCCGATGGCAGCCGCTGCCCAGGCCCCAGGCAAGCAGCGCAGAGATGGGGCTTCCCCAAAGAGAGAGAGCCTTGGGGGAAAGGCGGTTGTGCTGACTTGGTAGTGGCAAACAAGCATCCGTGTGAGCCCTGCCAGATGTTGCATTGGCAGTATTCTGAGATGCACCCTACTGAACACCCTCAAATTCGTCATTCAAGGTTGCGAACAACCCTGACTCCCTCCCTCCTTGTCGTGTGGTCCCTTGCTCGCGCACTCAGCAGCAAACCGCACGGGGTCCGTCTACACGGCAACCATCCCTGCCGCCGCCTTCAAAGCCGGCGGCATGGTCCGATGGGCGGTCGTGGCCACGGCCCCGGGCGGCCTCTCCACGCGCGAGCCCGACCCCCAGGCAAAGGAGGGCGATTACAAAGGCACAGTCATCCCGGGGCCCCTGCCTGTCAACAGCCTGCCCGTGCTGTACTGGTGGGGCTGGAGCTGCATGGAGGGCTGGGATATCGAGTTTGTCCGCAGCCTTATTCATGCATATGTGGTTGCCAGCCTGAAGGTCGGGCTCCAGTTCCTCGGTCTAGGCTTGTGTGTGCACCGCCCCAGTTCCGTATCCTCATCTCATCCCCGGGCCCTGCCTTCAACCAGAGCCCGCCACCCACCGCCCGATTGCCTCACAAACAGCTGCTCCCTTGCGCCGCCCCTCCGACGCGCGGGCGAGCACCGCCGCAGGTTTGCGGAGGACCCCGTGGCGGCGCAGTCCGTGGCGGGCGCCCGCAGCTCCCTGGCGCTCAACGGGTCGTTTTATGATGATGTGGAGGGCCAGCGGCGCGGCGTGACGTCACTCAACTACCCCAAGCCGAAGATGAAGTTCAAGGCCAACAGCGGCAAGCAGTTCGAGTGAGCGCAAGCGGCAAGGGATTAATTGCAGGGATCCGGATGCACTGCGGCTCGCTGTGTGATGGTTTTCTGAATTGCCAGCTGAGGGTCGGCGGCTGGGACGGCCCCATCACTGCGCGCCGCCGGCGCCCGGACGCACGGCATGCAACAAGCGTCACACAGGGGCAACGTGTTTGCACTCCTGTCGAAAGCAGCTCTGGGTGCCTCAGCCTAACGTGTATGTACAAACTTGTCGCCCGCAGCCTGTTCCCGAATGCGCCGCGCATGGGCCAGCTGAAGCTGAACTCGCTGTACTTTGAGCTGGGGGAGCTCAGCTTCATGAAGGAGTACGTTGCGTCAAGGGTGCGGTCAACCTTCTCGTTTGACTTCGTTTGACCATGCATGCATGGATGAAATTTAGGTCTCCTGGACTGCCAGGCTTTGACTGGGGTTTGACTGAGTTGAGCATCGCCCGCTGCCATTCCTCCTCATTCCTGCTCTGACATCGACCCCACACCAACTTTTCATCGGTTTGTTTGCTGTTTGCGTCGTGCGGCAGGTGATGAACGAGGAGGGGCTCATGGCACCGCTGGCGTATCACATTGAGGTGGGGGCAACTTGAACGGCTTGCGCGCTGCTCGACCGCCCCACGCAGCAGGGACTGCTTCCCTTACAGCGAGGGGCGCAGCGCCTTTGCCCATTGGAGCGCCATCTTCCCCAGTTCCTGCAGATGGCCCCGCTGCTGCTCACATGATTGTCACAAACGCTGCCCCACCCCACCCCACCC